CCCCCCCCCCCCCCCCCACCGAAAAATGTAATTCAATGTTTGGAAGCCAATCCTACTCTATATAAGGCACACATACTTGCATAGCTAGGCCAAAATTAAACTGTTTCTCTCCCCCATACTTCTCAGAATCTTATATTCCCTCTTTATTTAGTTCACAACTAGTGGTTGCTAATCTTGTTGAGGACCATATCTATGGAGATAGGGAAGTTTCTCCTTGTTGCTATTGCACTGGCTCTGGTTTTTGGGCTCGTCCAGAGCTTTGAATTCACCGAAAAGGACTTGGCTTCCGAGGAGAGTCTGTGGGACTTGTATGAGAGGTGGAGGAGCCACCACACAGTTTCCAGAGACCTTACTGAGAAACAGAAGCGTTTCAATGTGTTCAAGGCAAATGTGATGAACATTAACAAGGTGAATAAGATGGACAAGCCTTACAAACTGAAACTCAACAAATTTGGAGATATGACCAACCATGAGTTCAAAAGCTCCTATGCAGGCTCCAAGATCAACCACCACAAGATGTTTCGTGACAGCAGTAGGGGTGGCAATGGCCGGTTTATGCACGAGAAGACTGAAAATTTGCCACCATCGGTTGATTGGAGGAAGAAAGGAGCTGTCACTAGTGTCAAGGACCAGGGCAAATGTGGTAAAAAACTGTTACCTTATTTTGAATTTGTAACTCAATTTTACAAAAAACTGCTATGAAAATATGAATGTTTGTTTCTTAATTGGCCTTTTGCCTCGTGTTACAGGAAGTTGCTGGGCATTTTCAGCTGTAGTTGGAGTTGAGGGTATCAACCAAATCAAAACAAATAAGTTAGTATCGTTATCTGAACAAGAGCTTGTTGACTGTGAATCCGATAACCAAGGCTGCGATGGAGGATTAATGGAAAACGCATATGAGTTTATCAAGAAAAATGGAGGAGTGACAACAGAAAGGATATATCCTTACCAAGCTAGAGATGGGACTTGTGATGCATCAAAGGTATTTTATTTTTGTAGTCATCATAAGCATCTAACTAAATTGTTGTGTGTAGTACATGCATCTTTGATGTGTTTGTTTGATCTTTTGGTTTTTTCGTAGCTGAATTCTCCAGTGGTGATGATTGATGGGCATGAAAGTGTACCTGAAAATGATGAGAATGCCTTGATGAAAGCTGTTGTAAACCAGCCTGTGTCGGTTGCGATAAATGCTGGTGATTCTGATATGCAATTCTACTCAGAGGTAAGTTTCTGTTCAATTAGCAAGGCTTTTGCGGATTTTTCTTAAGTCGGAGAAAGGTATTGCAATTCAGGTCTTACAAAAAGCCATCAACACATACATTCTTTTTTGTATACTGCTGAATTCTTCCTTGCAATGTGTTGTGCAACTGCAGGGAGTATTCACCGGAGACTGTGGCACAGAACTAGACCATGGCGTGGCAATTGTTGGCTATGGAACTGCCAACGATGGGACTAAGTACTGGATAGTCAAGAACTCCTGGGGCCCCGAATGGGGAGAACAGGGATACATAAGGATGCAACGTGGTATCGATGCAGAAGAGGGACAGTGTGGCATAGCCATGGAGGCCTCATACCCCATCAAATTGTCCTCAGACAACCCGAAAAGCGCTCCACTTAAAGATGAACTCTAGATCCAAACAATAAGTGATGAAATTTTTATTTCTGTTATAGTTTATATATGAGGAGGTCAGGCTCTTCCAGGTAGACATAAAATTCTACTTAGCAAAACTATGTGATTTTGTCATACAGTTTAATGAGTATTACAGTTCTTTTGTATTGTTTGGATGATAATAAAAGCTCTTTTCAATGAGTGAATCGCAACAAGTGTAGTCTTCAAAAGTGCATGTTTTTGACACTCAGTTCAGAAATTAAACACGAATAGTATTCAAGACAGTCACAAATCGACCACACATAATTCTTCTTTCAAAATAATAGACGGGCAAAATTTTAAAATAAAATTTTGTGGCATAAATAATGTGACACAATCTGAGTTTCTTTTATTTGTCGAGTACGAAAACATTATGTTATTTGGACCACAATATTCGGTCCAAAACTTTCGATCTAAGTAATAAATTTCATTCTTTATTAGCACTATTCATAATTCGTTAAATTCATAACACCAAGCTAATATAATTGTACATTATTCTCTCGACTATCATATTTTTTATATTTTTATCACAATTTTATGCTTAGCATCGTATCACTTTAATTATCAACGTTCGTTACATATTTAACAAAAAAATATTTTATTTTATTTTTCAAACTGTGTAATAGATTAAGATCTATAGGATGGTGGAGGCCTCAACGGCCTTGTATCAGGTGAAGAGAAAGGGGTGATAGGCTTTGTAGGACTTGAACCTACAATATAACCGCTTAATTATTTTCACCTTGTTTTGATACGTTGGCAATTTTCATTTTTAAAAAAATAGCATAAGTTTCTGGGGTAGTCTAAAATAATTTAAGCAATTTAGGGGACAATGTGAAAATTTTCATAGTTTAAGGGAAAAAGTAAAATTGAATCCATAATTTAGGATGTCAAAGTGCAATTTTTCTTTGAGAAAAACACTGGGGGCGTGTTTGGGTAGCTGGAGCGGATGGGATAGGATAGATTATCTTTTTTTATATCCTAACTCTTTCGTTCCAAACTCACTTAACCACTTATAAACCCTTAACCTTGAAATATATCCGATCCTTACTTTTGTTTGGAAACAAGAGGTGTAATTCAATGGCCCCACAGGTTACACAAAGAATTTGTAGTATTTTACCATTATATTCATGACTCTATCTATTCCAATATAAACCAATAATATTCTATGTTTGGATTGATGAATTATCATAATAAAATTATATATTTTTTACATATTACATAAAAAATATATAAAAATAAAATAAAAAATTTTATTAGGAAAGTTAATAATTTTTTTTCAAATAAATTAACACTTTATTTTATTTTTTAAAAATTGATTACGATGGGAAAAAAAATCCAATGCAACAAGACCTTCTTTTAACACAAACCAACAAATATGCTCCAAAAGAGAACTGATAGGCAGCAAGGGGGAAGGATCTGAACAGAGGGCCGTGCAATCCTTCGAACAGACTCCTGCGTATTCTCAAGAGAGACCCAACAAACCAATCGACTTCATCAAATGCCAGTGCTGAAGACCAAAAACCAACCTAAAATTCTCACAGCAATGAAACGAAACAGAGAGCAGCAAAGAAAGGAGGACCAGCGTAAAGCGAAATTCCCCAAGACTTTGATTGATTTAGAGCCGGATGAAAGTCTGATAAACCTTGAGAACACATCCATCCATCCACAAATACACCTACTAAGAATTTCTCTTCAGTAACACAGAGATGCAGAGGTCTGTTGAGATGAATCCAGCAGAGTCCAGAATGGTTCTTGCAGAAATCCAATAGTCGAAACAAGAGCAGAAGACCAGAAATCAGAAACTCCACTGTCTTCGTCGACTCTGTGAAGCTCTCACCATCGGCACGATCGCCTTCGCCTTAGTGCTCACCTTGGACGAGATTAGCTGACAGTAGAAAGAGAGCATAAGGGATTAATCGCTGGTGGGTGGAGAAAGAGACAGGGGCAGTATCGTCTTGGGGGGAGTAACCCATTGCCTGGGTTTGTAACCTTGGGGGGCTGGGTTATCTGCCGTGTATGGCGGTTAACATTTCACTGTAGCACCGGGTCAAGCGGTGACCCGGGATTTGTAGCCAATCTCAAATAAACTTCCCAAAGGGTTAAATGGGTCCCACTCCTAGATAACCCCCTTTATCCCACTACCCAAACACCCCCTAGAAACTGCCTTGTCTTGGGTTTTTCTAGGGTTTCTACTTGTTTGTGAACTTCCTCTGCAAAACACACACGCGCGCATACTCTCGCAGAGTAAACCATGACGTTAGCTTCCGACCTCGACGTCGTCCCGGAAGCGCTAGCACCTTCCGGCCTAACGGCGGAGAAACTTTCACTCCCAACCCTCCAATCGAAAATGAAGATCGACCCAGAAGGCTACCAAACGGAACTCAGTCTCCTCTACAATCAATTCAAATCCTCTCTAGAGCTCTTCCAACAACAAGCCGCCCTAAATTTCACCTCCATCAGTGGAATCTCCACCGACTCCACCGTCGCAAAGGACCTCGGAGACCGAGCCATGTTTTTGTCTCATATGACACCGTTTTACCCCGAACAACTCGCCAATTTTCCTACAGAGCTCGCCGATTTCCTCCGGTCATCAGGCCGGTCTCTGCCATCGGGGCTTCGCTGTCATATTGCCCAAGCTTTGATTCTTCTCATTAACAGAAAGGTTGATTGAATTATTTAAATTTTGGTACTTTTGTTTTGTTATTGATAAAATATTTGGAAAAGAAGTGAAATTACATTGATGAAGTGCGTTTTTCTAATCAGTCCAATAGTAGTCCTTGCCTTTTCTTTTGAGAGCTCCGAATTGTTGGTGTTAGCAGTTATTTATAAATTTTTTTTTGTAAATAGAATTGTGACTCGTATGATGGTATGGAAGAATTAGTGCTGGGAAATAAAGAGATTTGGTTTTGAATTTTTTGTTCTTTTATTTTTCTGAGTTACTTTAATGGATATGTCTAGTTTGATGGAGTTTAGTCTAGACGCAATCATTAAAAGTTGAGGTCGTGTTTCTGTATCCATGTTGGGAGAGCGACTGATGTAGATTCTCTGTTTGGCTAATGAGAAGATGTTGGAAAGGAGAAGATAATATAAATGTTGAATTTTGAGTTTTTATGGTTTGGTGATAAGGGTAAGAAGAAGAACTCAGTTTAGCTGACAACCCAGTTGGCTTATTGAAACCAAATTGGTCATAAAAGCAACCACAATGATGTGGAACCTGAGATTTGAAGTTCTTATCCTATTTAAGTTTGTCTCATTCTGACTAGAATTAACTTTGCTATTGTCTGTGTTTAAAATCTGATGGAATCTTGTTTTTGTAGATTGTTGATATTGGGGATACTCTTGCCTTGTTCATGGAGCTTCAGACTTTGGGTGATAGGGCTTTGAGAAAATTGGCATTCTCACATGTTGTTCAAAGTGTTAGACGAATGAATCAGAAACATAAGCACGAAGCCAAGAATCGGACGCTTCAGAACATTCTGTTTTCAATACTACAGGTATGTTAATGTCTTAGCTTTTGTCATGGTCCTCTGAATTCATCATCGGGGTTGAATTAAATGTGTGTATTTATGTTTGGTGTAGCAAGAGGACGAAGCAAAAGCAAAACAATCCCTTATTACACTTTGTGATCTTCATCGGAGAAAGGTGTGGTTCGATGAGAGGACAGCCAATGCTATATGTACAACGTGTTTCAATCCATCATCTAGGTGAGGATTAAGCTTTAGATGTTCTCCATGCACTTAACAGCATTGTGTTTAAAGTCTCTTTGCTTGTGTCATAGGATCATGATTGCTGCTCTATCATTTCTCCTTGATTTTGAGAAGATTGAAGATGATGATGATAGTGATGTTTCAAGCGGTGAAGATGACATCAATGTCAACCAGCCTCATGTTGTCCTCAGTAAAGAGGCGGTTTATAAGGTCAGTTCCTCAAGTAAAGACATGAGTTAGGTTCTTAGTTTTTAGACAAACTTGGAAATTGGCCTTTTTCACAAAGTGTTAGTTTGTCAAGTTTCCTGAGTTCCTGATCCAAGGTGTCTGCAATCAAATTCTTAGTTCAAATTTGACTTTTTTGTTGAACAGTTTGAGTGTTACTTGTATGCTATTTTACTCAATTTACAACTAGCACTTGTCAAAAAAGTTTAGCATTTATTTTAAACATAAATTGGCACTCCAATGTTCTTTTTCAAGCATCACCTTCTTCAGATGTTTATAATGCTATTGCTGGAAACATGTGGTGGATATAGTTAGTCGCACTCAGGTTAATTTTTCATAATTACATTGAATTTTTAGGCAAACCATAAAGGTACAACATCTAGCAAAAAGAAAAAGAAAGCAAAATTGCAGCGAGTTGCACGTAGCATGAAGAAGCAGCAACGCATGTCATCAGAGAAAGATAATTTGAGTTACTATTCACCACTTAACCATTTGAAAGATGCACAGGTTTGTTACTTTCTCATTCTATGGTCGGTACTGTAATTCTTTTTAACGAGAAGGGTAGAAGAATATTTCTGAACTAAATTCTTTTTTGCAGGGATTTGCTGAGAAGCTGTTCTCTCGGCTTCAAACTTGCAATGAGCGGTTTGAGGTATTTACTGTTCATTGTTTCTCTTTGTTATATGTCATGCCTTGTCTCTGCGCTTCAATTTATTGTCATAGAAACCCTTCCTCTTTCTTCTTTGTCTTTCTATCTTCAGGTTAAGATGATGATGTTGAAAGTAATTGCCAGAACTGTAGGGCTTCATCGCCTGATTTTATTGAACTTCTATCCTTTTGTTCAGAAATATGTTCAGGTATGTTGATCGTTTAATGCAGTAAAAATAAGTCTCTTGAGGAAGTTTGATGACTTGAGATGTATTTGCAGCCCCATCAACGTGATATCACAAATTTACTTGCAGCAGCTGTCCAGGCCTGCCATGATATGGTATAGTAAACTTTTGGTTTGTTTGAATCTTGAATGTTGTGGTATGTAGTTTTTCTTTCAATGGAGCTTGCTTATGTGAATGTCGTTGTCTTCTTTAGGTGCCGCCTGATGCAGTTGAACCACTTTTCAGGCAAATAGTCAATCAGTTTGTGCATGATCGTTCACGAACAGAGGTAGGCCTTGTTTGCTTGATAGTTGTAACCTGTAATCTCATGTGGCAGTAACTTATTTCTTTGTTGGATTTTCCAGGCCATTGCTGTTGGATTAAATGTAGTGAGGGAGATATGTTTACGTATGCCTTTGGTAGTCTTCTTTATCCATGATCCTGACAATCTGTTTATAAGTGTATTCCATTATTAATATTCAAATGCGGTCCACCCTTCCTCGTTCTCAATCAGATGTTTTCCCTGCCTTGTTTTTTGGTGATTAGCTGATGACAGAAGACTTGCTGCAAGACCTTGTATTGTATAAGAAATCTCATGAGAAGGCGGTTTCATCAGCTGCTCGGGCACTTATGACTCTTTTTAGACAGGTATTAAAAGGAAGTGTGCGGATCTCTCTCCCTCCCCCCCTCCCTCCTCCTCCTCCTCCTCCTACTCCTCTTTTCTCTGATGCATCTTTTTGTCTGTGTGTTTTTTTAATGGTTATTGTGGTGGTCATGCAATTTCCGCTTCATGGAAGACTGACGGTGTATATTTGTAGGTTTGCCCTTCACTTCTGATCAAGAAGGATCGTGGACGGCCCATTGATCCTAAGGCAAGGCCGAAAGCATTTGGTGAGGTGAATGTCGCCAGCAATGTCCCAGACGTTGAGTTATTGCAACAAAATGATGGAAGTGATGATGATACCAATGATCATGGATATGGTAGCTCTTCTGATGATGATAATCATAATGATGAAGATGTGGATGCTGTTGAAAAAGATGACAATAGAATTGATGATGGCTGGGATGGTGATCATGCTTTCGAGTATGAATCTGATAGCTCTGATGATGACGATCTCCAAAAAGACCAAAACATTAGTGCTGGATGTGAAGATGATGATATGCAAAAAGTTGAAGTGTCTGAAGATGAGGATGCTAATGACTGGACTGATGATGAGGACGATGCCAGTGATGAAGATGATGATGACGAAGAGGAGCATGGGCAGATTAATGGCTCCCCAACAAATTGTGATAAAAATGAATTTAAAGAGAAGAAGAGGAAGTTTTCTGATTTTGATGGACAACTGAATGCTGCCAACAAAAGTCTTCGGGCTTTAAAGAAATTAGCTGGAGCAAAGATGAACCCCGGTCCCTCAGATACAACAGATGGTATTCTTTCTAATGAGGACTTCCAAAAAATCAAAGAGCTAAAGGTATGCTAGTTTTTCGTACTGAACCGAGCCTTGCATTGGCTTTATCAGGCTTAAGCACCGACTGTTGCTCATATTGCAACCTTTTGTAGTGAAAACATCCTGCCATTCTTTTTTCTCGAGATAAAATTTGTTCATAGGTCTTGGGATATGCTTTTCAGTTAGTAATTTTTGGCTTTATGTGATTAGGCAAAGAAGGAAGCAAGGATTACTTTGAATCAACATGGATTTAAGATTCCTAGCTCTGATAACCTTAGTGTTAAAAGAGTGGACGCTGCCAAGCTTGAGGTGAGTTATCTATTTTCATGGTCGCTCACTTTTGATCTTACTATATATGTCCACATGCAACTATAGATAAAAAAATGCAGGAAAATATGTTACAGCCCACAGATTAACTTATATTTGGGGGACTTGGGAAAGTAACGTCATGTAAAGTATTGGAAGCTTTTACACAAAAGGGGTAATTTCTTAGAGAATGGTATGGTCCATGTCTCATGTATACTGCCCAGTCTCATCATGTAGTCAACAAAAGTCTTAGAAAGGAGGAAGGTTTTGTTAGCAGGAAGCCAACTTAAATCTTCGTCTATGGGATCTTCTATGAGCAGAAGCTTATTATCTGCTAAATTGTGTGCAATATAATTAAGAAATTTATGTCTTGACCGATTTCTTTTTCTCATGGGACCCTCACGATGAGAAAGATTTCAAATGCATGGGAAATCCTTTTCACAAGTTTTTCTTGTGTTGCTCATATATTGTCCTGGCAAGAAGTACATTTGACACAATTCTGCATGCATTGTAGGTTAACATACGAAAAAAGATGAGCAAGGATGAAAAACTAGCATTAATAAGAGCTGGAAGGGAGGAGAGAGGGAAGTACCAAGCCCGAACTGCTGTAAAACAGAAGAAGGTGAGTTTTACTTTTTCAAGATATGTACTTTATTGTTCATTTCCTAGCAATACATATGGTTTAACTTTGTTCTTGATTGCAGTCACATGTTTGGCATTCTGTTGTTTTTCTACAAATTGTTATCATTAATCCGGTTTGAGACAGATAGCTAAAGTTTTATGTTCTGCCAACCTAAAAGAGGAAGTGTGAAGTTGGAGTTTTAGCTGGGATATCAATTCATCGTTTGTGCTTGACAAAAGTAGTAGTAAATTAATGGTCAAGTAAACAGCTAATCTATTTCTAGGCACTATAAGTGCATTTTACACTTGCGATACAGTTTCTAAAATGATGGGCCCTTACTCCCCTTTATTGCTCTTCTTTATCAAGGCAATAAGGGCCCGTTCTTTTTGTCAATGATTGTAAGGTATACCTCACTATTTTCACTTACCTATTCTTCTTTCTATTAATGTATACCAATGATCAAATCAGCGTTGTCTAAGTAAACAGATCCGAGTAATTTCCTTTTTCATTAAATTTGCACATTCAGATGTTATATGATTATCAGGTTCAAATTACGCATCATAGAATCTGTTATATTTTGTGTCCCTTTTTTTTGGGTTATGATAGAAGCTGCTATATGGACACTTTGTTTTGCATCACATTTAATGTTCCAATTGTGGACAGACTGGTGGTTTAAGCAATCGGCAGAAGGAACACAAAAAGGCTATGCCCCTTGCAGCAAAGAGAGCCAAGGTCACACGATCTCGGCAGGAGAAAAAGATAAAACAGCAACGTTCTGGGAAACAGTTCCGTGGGAGGAAAGCATGGAAGTGATCTGCATTGTGATTTGCTATACTCTAATGCTGGTCTGCTTAGTAGTTGCCCACTACAACTAAAAATTTAAAGAGGAGGGGGTGGAGGGAATAAGTGCTCTTTTATGTTATGTTGTTTTTTCTGGGGGGCATTGTAGTCTAGATCTGTGGTAATATATTACCACAGACCTGGAATTTTCTCTTGTGGCTCCTATTTTTAATATTTAATTGATAATATTCATTATCCATTCTTTGAACCTCACTTAATGATTTGGAATGCTAGAGTACCTATGAAAGTGCATATGCTTGTTTAGGTGATTGTTCATGGTAAGGTAAATAATACCTGTGACTTGTTGCGAGATGGCCTAACATGTTTCTTTTCCCGAATTGGTGTATTTTGTGTAAGGTAGGTAGTGAAACTATTGATCACTTGTTCCAGCACTACCGTATTGCAAAATTTTTGTGGGAGGCGGATTTACAGTGGGTGAAGGCATTGCACAATACACTGCCCTCGAAACACACTATACAGATGACTGGGGTCTGGGTGATTGTATATTCTTATTTGTGGTAAGTCTTGGTGGGTTCGGGAGTAGAAAAAAGCTTCAACACTCTGGATATGTGTTATTTAGACTATTTTTGGGTAATGTGGATGGAGAGGAATAGTAAAATTTTAAAGAAGAGTTGTTAATGGGGTAGGAGGAAGTTTAATGCATAGTTATGGGGCAAGGGCTTCTAAGTGAGTTCGGTGATTTTTCTCTTTCGATTTTTCTACAAAATTGAAAAGTTTTTTGCAGATGAATCGTCTTTGTCTTTTTCGGATACTATTGTTCTTGTTTTGGGATTTTGAGTGGATTTTTGATCCACTTCTGTATTTTTTCGTCTTTCAATAGAACGAATGTTTTGTTCCTTACGTCAACAAAAAAATAAAAAAGATCTGTTGTAAGATATTACTCCTCCCTGAGAGAAAATCTTGGATCTGTGTACCTTTCATTTGGAAAGCATTGAAAGTGATTGTGTTAGGCAGTAGCGACGGGCACGGAGGTAATTAACTTCTTACAACAAAATTTCAGTTAATGACTCGTTTATTTTTTGGTTAATAACACTTTTACTTCATAAAGCATAAACTGACAACAAATACATATTTTAAAAATTAAATATACTGTTAACCCTTTATTTTTCCTTTTTTCTCGTTGCCCAATATGAGACCTTTCCATAGTTCTACTCTCCATACCGCATGTCCTTTGATGAATCGAGAACTATGGAATCAGACACTGCTATGTGGATGTGCGCTCTTCCTCTGCCAAGAGGACGGCCAATCCGCGTCCAATAGTAGCTGCTAGCTTTACCTAGGAACGGGTCCTTAGTCTGCTTTTAGACCCAAAAAAATCTTAAGCAGGTAATTAAGTTCCAAATTCCACGACCACTCATCTACTCTTCTCTAATACAAAGTCGAGCCAATTGTATAGAAGTTCCTCTCTAATGTTTTATTAGATGGCACCCCTCACCCCCACCCCCATTGCAGAAAATTCAATGGTTGTTCCCAAAAATAAGACTATTTATGGGGTCTACCCTTCTTTAGTTCTTATCCATCACCCAGAAGTTTTGCTAGCAGACAAACATACTTGACGCTAGTAAATTAAACTAGCACCCACAGACCACTAGGCATGACACCTTCAAGGAGCTTCTATGTAACTTTAAAAAGGTAAAGCTACATCAAAATTCATGCTTGTGGTTCCTAACCAAGTCCTTAATAAAACCAAATATGAGGGAGGGAGGGAGAGAGGTAGGGGAGGTTGGGTCACAGCTTACTCTTCTACTGGAGGCGGCAATTCAGTTGTCTGCCCAAATATATCAGGAATTCCTTCCCACTTTACTTTCTCTCTTGCTTCCCAGTACCCACTCGCGTAGCGGTAACAGCCATCATCGTCCTTCCGGAACCATCGTGGTTGCCAGCCTCTTTCTTGTAACTTCCTTGCCTGCACCACAAATTACACATTTTTCTTATTCTTTTGGAAAGAGTACAAATAGCTCAAATTACGCAACTGATGTTTTCTAAAACCAATATAAAGGTGAAAAGCAATGGCTTTTTTATTGTTCTTGGCCTACTCTCAACTCTCCGGGCATCACAAAAGATTTCTTTCAATTTTTTAGTGAAAATTTGCGTTGAAATAAACATGGTCCACACTATGACAGCCTAAGGTTCTTCAGAGGTTGGGATCCTAATACCATTCCTGATTGCAGTATTACTTCCTCACAGCCAGCCACCAAAACAGAATAGAAATACTCCTCTTAACGTCAACACCATGATGCAAAACACAGTATCTGAACACGTAAAACATTAGATTTACTATCAACAGAACTGTGGGTTAATTAATATTACTGCTGCTTGAACAGAGAGGTAGGTAGTAAGGGGTTCCTTAGGAGAAGGGAAAAAACTGAAAAGAACCATTGGCTGACTTGCAAGTTCCAATGACATTCTAATGATGCACAAGGTACGACAAAGGGCAATCTGCATTTGATCATCAAATCAAGCATACTCAAAACAACTTCCGGAGCACTTCCTATTTTATATTGAGAGGAAAATAAATTGAACAGGCAATGTCAAATCCTAACAAGAGTATTGAGGAAAATACCTGTCTCTGCAACTGTTCAAGTCTGAGCTTCTCTGCATTAGCCAGCTCATACTCCCCATTCTCTAAATGCCGCTGATCTGGCCTCAGCCTTGAGTCAGTGGGTGGCAGCTTCTCCATTAAACCAGGCGTCAATTCATTCAAGGATATTGCGAAGGCTGTGAGGTTATATCTTGTCTTGGGAACAGATTTATCCCTTTCCCACAGCAATACAGCTTCTGTCATTGGATCATAACCCTTTGGCTTTGTTGTTGGATCTCCCAACACATAGTACATGGCCTCATCCCATTTCCCCCACAACATCGCTACCTTTTGCCCAGTTCTATTGTCTTGTACAAACCCATGAACCTGCAATTTCATAACGAGTTCATCCATATCAACCAGTTCATAATTAGCCAGAAAGCGCAAAAATACACTCTGTGAAAGATAGAAATGTTATTAACCATTTTTCTTCCAATTAGCCCACCTACCAGTAGGCTAACAACCAGCACACTAGAGAACAGGCAAGAATTTATTTCCATGCCAACATCACATTTTTAAGGACAAGTAAATTAACCTTCTAATTAAATTATAACTTAATAAGGATACTTTTTCAGGGGAAGTTTTTCAGTGATGAGTAATTTGACTTTGTAAGAAGGGTCATCAAGGGGAATCCAAGAGAAACACTACTGCGAAAAAACTAAAATATGTGGCGGGTTTCTTTAAGCTATTGGTGAAGTGCTTGGTCATCCTAGCTGGTGTCAGAAATAACCGAGTCAAATAACTTTCCTTTCCAAGAAAAAATATAGACAAAGAATGAGGCATTGCGTGACAACAGCAAATGTTGGACTTCAGTGCAAACTAGGCAAGGAAAAGGCTTCAAAAGCTTGGGTTGAATTATTTTCATTCATGACTACAGAAATACCTGGTGTGGATTTCGGTCTATAATAGACTGTTCTTTAAACTTGAGCTTGCAAGAGTAATTGCCGCTGCCCCTAATGCGCATGGTGCCATAGTGGTCACAATAGATTTTACCAAGTATGATATTGTATATGGAAGTAGTCACCTTGCCCCATTCAAATGTCTCACCATCTTCTAACTGCAGGGTAAGAACACCTACAGGATCAAGCTGAATAGAGCGCCCCCAAAACTTGCCTTTGAGATTAGAATCAGCCCAGAATTTCCAGCCTCTACCCTCACAGTGGCAAGCGACAATCATTGGGTGGTGACTCACCTAAAAAGAGCTTGTTAGAGAAAAATTTCTTTCAGAAATCAGTAAGTTCATAGATGCCAACAATTTTGCAGAAGAGAGGAGGGCTACCTTTTCAGAGAAGAAACGTAGACCCTTATCCGGATAGTCAGCCTCATACGTCTCTCCAAGAAGAGGATTAAAGGGCTTGCACTGCCGACCTTCTGTTGATGCATAACCAGACACAGCGAAAGCTGCAATGTTTAGAATTCTCATCAAATCATTCCCCTGCAGCATGTAAAATTATTATCTTCAGCCAAAATTCGAATAACAAAAATCGTCGAGCAAATTATGATATGAGTCAATCAATAAACCAGGTGTATCATGACCGGTGGAAATCGGTGATGAAAATAAGAAAACGAGAAGAAAGAAAGAGTTTTGGCACCTCCAGCTGCAGCATAAACTCAAAACCTTTTCATGTTGTGTATGCCTTACTTGAACTAGTCAAATACTGTAACATTTGAATATGACTAACTAAACATATACCCTTGGAAAGGCCCAAGTCCACTACGTGCTTTCAAACCAAATTCATATACAAAGTTTGCCACCAAGTAGAACACTATAATCTGTAATCAAAAAAAAAGTAGAACACTATAATCATAACAATAAGGCAAAACTCATTATAATAATTCCCAGCTAAAAAATTAATCTATTTTCGAGGGCTGCTATTGTCTACCAAATTATGCTCATTCCTTGAGAATTGATGTGCACAAACACAGCCCCTAATTAGAAACCAATTGCAGCTAGAATTCAGTTGTCCTCAGCGATTCCCCGGCCAAAGAAAAAACAATAGCATGGTACTAAGTGAAAGGTTCTACCATCAATTCTTGGAAAAACATGAAGGGGCGAAACAAATAAATTAACAAAAGAAGCATCTTATCTGAAATTTTCTGTAAGCATTGTAATTTTGAACTCTTTAATTTTCTTCAATACTCTCATAAATTAAGCCACCTAACTACCTAAGACTTATATTTGCAAAAATCAATTAACAATTAATTTATCTAGTAACATCGAGTGCCACATGCTGAGCATTTGCAGTTCAACCAAACTGTTAGTTTGATTCAAATTTGAACACCTTACTTTTCTGATATGCAAAGAGTTGAGTCCTATTCAATTGGTTAGCTTCCCAACTAGGCAACTAGACAAATCCTGTTAGTATAAAGAAAAGAATCGAAACTTATCATCTAAATATTAAAAATTAATAGCCCTTGTGTGGGAAGGATAAGATGTTAGAAGCTGGAGGAGCAAATTGGCATTGTCCTAGAGATTGCACCTGGCAAAACTATTTATGGATGTTGCACTATCTAGTAATAACTAAACAATTATAGCACAGAAATTTTATGAGATCTCAACATCCTTATAGTTCTCTCCTTTTCCTTTGGTAAATCATTATGCTTCACAAAAGAAACTAGAAAGAGAACATCCACATAAACCAATCAATCAGCAATGTAAAGCTATAAAGATCACTTAAATTAAGAGCATGATCCATTTTCAAGGTGACTGTCGGGTATAAACCAACATATGAAAGTCAAGTATGTTACATAGCAATGAGCAATGATGCTGTGCTACTTAGGCCAGCAAATTAACTACCGGGATTAAATAACTACAAGATCATGCTTTTAGAAACTGCTTTGCCACAAAAGAAAGCACAACTGAGGCTGACCTGCTTTCCCCATTCCAATGCCCGATCGACCAAGTATGAGTACTCCAAATCTTCAAAGCATTTCTGCAACGAAGACAGTGGCTCATTAAAGTAAACAGGGAGACAAACACCAGATAGGTCCTTTCCAATATTGTCCTTGATTATTGACCATAAGCCAACTGGCTTCTCTTTCTCTTTTGGTTCTGGCAAACTGTCCCTTCTTTTGATATATGGATATTTAATAGCCTTTATCTCCATTCCGACCTCTTGCAAACGACTAGAAAAGAAAGGATCTTTATCATATGCCAAAGAACTACAAGTATGTCCCGTATTCTCTCTGCTGCAATAAGCACTTCTCAGAGAGTCAGAAGACAAGAAATCATTCGTGTCAAAATACNCCAGAAAAGAAAGGATCTTTATCATATGCCAAAGAACTACAAGTATGTCCCGTATTCTCTCTGTTGCAATAAGCACTTCTCAGAGAGTCAGAAGACAAGAAATCATTCGTGTCAAAATACATTCCATTGTCTTCATCTGTCTCAACATCTACACCATATCGACTTTCATTATCTGCATCAGAATCACTTGCACTACCCTCTGACATGATGGAATAGAAATCTGTGCCATTGTAAGGAAGTTAAGAAGGCCACCAAAATCTCAAAATTAAAGAAAGTATCACTTTCAATCTAATAAAATAGCATTTCAAGAACAGGCAATAAGGCTATTCTATGAATTTCGTTGCACTTACCAGCAATCATGCCAGCCACCGTGGAGAATTGCAAAGTGACGAACTATGTGGCATGTGAATTCAATAGTCATTGGTAAAATCTAGTTAATTCAGAATATTTCAAACGATGTCTTATCAATGAAGGAGAAAGTTCATCAGTCTAAGTCAAGGAAAAGCTACTTTCCAAAACAGCTCAAAGAAAACTTGAAGACCACAGCAGAATGCGATCAGAATCTTAGAATACTTCACTCCAGATGATTATGTTTTCATCAAAAAGAAATAACTTGAAATACTAAAATCTTTTTTTCAAAAAGAATGGACAAGGTTTGGGGCAACAGAATGCAAGGACAACGGAAGGCAGAGAGCTTGACTAACCACTGAATCTTCTATCTGCTTGTCCACAACAAGAATCCCGTTCCTTCGTCTCATCAACTACAGTGGTTTCCAGCTCAATTTTCTCTGTCTGCAAACGAAGTCATACAAAGAATGAACTTGTTCCTCTCTGGCACATGTAGAAAGGCAGAACTAAGACTAAATAAAAAGTTGGACACAATAAGATGGAAGGAGGTAGTGACGCGACACAAAATAAGTTCAACCAATTAACCCAATAATGGGGAAGCACAATCATACAACCTAGTTGGTTGGCTTAGTTTGCAGCACAAAACATTATAAGTCACATGGAATGACGACGCCTTCCATTGTTGCACAAAAAAAGTTAAGTTGGCTGTCAGCGACTGCATATGTTCCAAATTTAATGGGATTCAAAGATTAAAGAGGAAAACTCTTGATTAGACAAGAAAATAAATAGATATAAACAAATCTTAATAAACCAGTAACCCAGCAACTTTTGGTTGGTTCTTCTGAGTCTTTTTCAACTGTAAACTCTTTGGATGGACCATGATAACCATTGAACCAGAGCCCCAGTGTCTAAAACCTCAACTTACATTCTTTTTGGGTTTTCTCATTGTCATTAAAATGTCTTCGACTATAAAAAGTAAATTAGAATTAATTTGGAAACCAAAAAGATCACTTCCGGATTGAAGCCCTGATATATATTATGAGTTACGTATCAAAGATGATTTGAATGCTCTCATATCAGGGAGAGTATCAAGATGATTTTCAATTCTCTCATGTCAGGTTTCATTTCCAAGCTCCATATCTAAAAGCCCAAAACATAGCAAACATCTCCAGATAACAGCAACCTGGTCTGTAAAGTATCTTGAATCAATAAAAAAAGATGAATAGTTAAACAGGCTAAAGAGACAACAAATAAACAACAATACTTCCAGGTACAGGTGAAAAAAAAGTTGAAGGAAACAATCCAGTTACAATAAACCAAAAAGCTCTTCTTTAACTTTGCTTTGGTTTTATACTACTTTTAGCTTTCCTATGTTTTTCCTTTCTACACACCAGTAACCAGACACAGGAATGAGGATAAGTCAAAAACTAGTTTTGGGGGTACACACACATTACCTAATGCTTTCTGATTTCGAGTTGCCATGCTGGTCACCCCATATTTGTGTTAACCACCAAGAAACATCTACAACAATATACCGTTCCCCCTCCCACTAGAAAAATAAAAAAGGAAAGAAAGAAAAATTGTGAACCACAAGCAGCAAAACAAAGGTTTGAAAAGAGGACACATGTAAACCTCATACAGCTTTTATGTAATTTTGGTGCTAACTTATTATAAACTTGGTTANAGGAAAGAAGAAAGAAAAATTGTGAACCACAAGCAGCAAAACAAAGGTTTGAAAAGAGGACACATGTAAACCTCACACAGCTTTTATGTAATTTTGGTGCTAACTTATTATAAACTTGGTTACATAAGCAGANAAAGGAAAGAAAGAAAAATTGTGAACCACAAGCAGCAAAACAAAGGTTTGAAAAGAGGACACATGTAAACCTCATACAGCTTTTATGTAATTTTGGTGCTAACTTATTATAAACTTGGTTACATAAGCAGAATGAATGACACCAGAAGTGAAAGAAACCAAGTACCTCTAATTGTCTCAGTGTGTCCAGCAGCAGAATGTGTTTAAGTTGAAGAGCCTTCAACTTATTTTGCAGCTCAGAGAATTCGTGTAGCATAATAGACTCACAATCTTTTATGATAGCCCCACCAATACCTTCTTGCGATAATCGTAATCGTAGCTCCTCTGTTGAGACAACAATATCTTCAGACGGGCCAAAATCACTGCTTGTCAACAATCTAGGGAATCGATCTTTTGCGGCTAGAAGTGCATCAATCCATGCAGCTCTGTCCTCTCTAGATACACACCGCAAATGAAGAGTTTTTGTTCCTGTGTATATGGTTAGCCTTTTGTCATCTGACTTGCTTCCCCGAATTGAAGAAACCTGTAGACAATGAACTTTAGAGCTCAGCTACTACAAGAGGAAATATTTGAAACAATGTCATGAGAGCCACAGTGTGGCCATGGAGACCGCCACAATTAGACAACAGTACCAGTTTTACCACGAAGCTACACAAACACCCGGTCTGATGAATTGATTCCATCAGCAGCTCGAGGACCTATGAGAGAACCTATCACTCCCGTGATTGTCAAAGGGATATAAAAGGTTTCAAGGAGAAAATAATCTCTAGTACAAGGTGATAAGGTGAATAACACAAAGTGGGAACCATTTTTACGAAAAAGCACAGGTAAAGGCTGCAATACCTAAAGAAAAATAATATGTAATGAATTGTCCACCTTTCCCGGCTGACCCAAACCACCAAGCAAAAATAAACTAGCAAATATGGACTCAGTTGCCTAAAATTGTAGGACCGTCATTTAAGAGGAGTTCATTATACCTTCATCCTCAAACCAATGTAGAGAATCCATATTAGTTATCTTGTAGAAAGCCAGAAAATTTCAGAGCCATTTAAGACTTTGCAATCAAATAACACTGCCTAAGCAAGCTTGTCATGTAGGCTTCAAAAGCTTTGGCATTTCAGAGCACCCACTTCCACTTCAAGTTCTCTTCACTTCTGCACACATCAGTCCTTTCTTGAATTCTCCCCTACTATCCATTACGTTTCTATATCTTTTAGGACTATTATCTATTTGTTGCACAAGCAGGGAGGGGATGTATCAGAGCTTCTTCAGAATTAGTTCTTGGAATGACCTATTCTTATTTCTTTTCCAATAAAATCTTCTGTAGGCTATAGTGTAAAGCTTACCAATGAACTTCTAGTTTCTAATTTCTGTAACAAATATCATAGCTTTTTACTGTTCACCTCCAACATTACTGACCTATTGCACAAGATCATGTCTTTTACCTTTCTAGTTGATCTTCATGGCTCATACCAGCTCAGTCAGTTTCACATCAATTTTTAAGATATCCCTGCATCTTCTTGTTGTTAGCATGCACGGTCAGAAAAGCAGCTAAATATCATTATTGTTTTTTGTAGTAAAATAGAAAACACAAAGCCCATAATAAATCAACTGTACAGATGCAAAGGAAAAAAATAGAAATATTGTGTTAGAACCTAGTTTAAACGTAAATGCACGCATTGCCAGAATCCAGTTTAACAGCAAATGCAGGCAGTGACAAACCTTCAAATGTATCTCCCCAAATGGTTTCCACCGCTTAGTAGACCCACCAATCCGATTATTACTCCGATTAGCTTTCATCAAATATCTCAAAGATTCCTCTCCGATCACCTTAACACCCTTCTCTCTCGCCGGACTCATCACGATCTTGTCCGGTCCGTGAACCTTGTAATACGAAAGCACTCCATCTTCAAGCACAAACCACCTCGACCTCCAACCCTTTCCATAATTCACCCATTTATACAATATACCAGCTACACTCCCACTAACACCTCCATCTCCACAGTAAACCTTAGAATCTCTTCCTTCAACAGCATTATCTTCGATCTCATGATTCAAAGTTAACTTTAACCCATCCGAATCAGCAGTAACAGATGAAACCTGAGCCGAATAACTCAGTCTCGAGTTAGAGCTCACATTTTTCGTCACAGAATTTTCAAGCCCCAACTGACACTGACACTGAGACTGTGATCTCAGCACCACTGGATTATTGCTCTGATCTTTCTCGATCGAAACCGGAGCAATGCAGCACAATGGATTCATTTGGTTGAGAGCTCAAAAATCACTCAAATTTAAACGATTTCCTCACCGAATCGAAAAACAACTCATTCAAAATCGTCGTAATTTGTGTTTCTTCGAAATGCCAAAGAGAAACAACCCTGATCCTTCAAATGATGCTGTTTTAGAGAGAGAAAATCCACTCAAAACTGATCTTCTCTCCGGTGAGAAGCAAAGCACCCGATCGGAGTTCGATACGGCTACGGATCCGAAAATGTTCTGATATGACATAAGATCAACAGAGGACAGATGCAGTGGTATATAGATCAGGGAAGATAAGATTAAATACAAAGGGAAAAGAGAGAGAGACAGAGAGACAGAACTGAGTTCACAACAATTAAAAGCTTGCAGAGAAGAGCAGATCCATTTATTTCACTGCTCAGTAGTTGAGTCTAGGTAGTGTGTGTGACTGTGTGAGATGGAGGTGTAGAATCTATGGATGTAGGAGTGAAAGGAGGGGGGGGCGCGTAGGATAAGAAAATGGCGCAATAAAGGATTTAAATGCATGGTTTGTTTTTGGTTTTGGGACAGTAATGATTGCAAAATGCTGTTTGGATGTGGGGCTAAACAGCCTAAACTCCCTCAGTATTTCGAAGGTATTTCGATTTTTAATTTATATTCTTAAATATTAAAGATTTTAATTTATATCTTTAATATTATGAATTAATAATAATATGAACTTGATTCATATTGTCGTTTATTTTTTTGTCATAAATTGAAGAATGTGATGTTTAAGTGCTATGGACATGAAGTAAGTTAATCACCGCAGATCTTTGTTTGTAATCAATTTGGCACTGTTTGTATATCGAAAATAGTGTTTCATTAATGAGATAAAGGCTAATCATATCATGTGTAATTTATATGAAGTGTCAACAATTTGTGAATTTATACATAAGTTTATATCTGAAATACTTACAACTCACGTGTTTTAATTTACGACGAAAAAATTGAACGACAATCTGGGTCAGGTCTATATTACTATTAATTCATAACATGAAGGATGTAAATTAAAAATCGAGGCATCTTTTAATGTGCAAAGTGAGATTAGTCTATAGATTTAATCTAAGAACTTAATACAATATAGTCATTGGATTAAAAGAGAACAATTACATTGAATTAAATCTCTAAATTAAGTATTATAACATCACTCGGAATAATTTGGGTCTCTAAATAAGTAACAAATATCCAATACCATCGATATATCCATGAAAATATAGATAGTACCTATAAAAAATAAATTAAAAGAAAATCGATTTAGTTTGTTTGAAAATAATTATAGATATTTTTCTATTACATCAGTGAAAAAGAGGAATATGAATAGTTATCATCAATAAGTGTATGGATAAAAAAAATTAAAATTAACTTTAAATTAAATAAAAAAATAATATAATAACGAGAAAAATATAATCTTTCATAAAGTAAANAAAAAATTAAAATTAACTTTAAATTAAATAAAAATATAATATAATAACCAGAAAAATATAATCTTTCATAAAGTAAAATGATGAAATAAGATTTATATAATCGACTCAAAATTATTGAGATAATGTTTTTTGAATTAAGTTGAGTTGAATATANAAAATGATGAAATAAGATTTATACAATCGACTCAAAATTATTGAGATAATGTTTTTTGAATTAAGTTGAGTTGAATATAATGATGAAACATAATTTATAGGACTAATCTCACTTTGTACCTAAATAAATGCTTTAATTTTTAACCTATAAGAATTAAAATTTTAAATTACACCCTTAACGTTATAAAATAGATGCAATTTAGTCCAATTGGAGGGTGAAATTTAAGTTTGAGGCTGCAAATTGAGCTTGAAATAGGACTATATTGCACCATTTTTATAATATTGGGGGGTATAATTTAAGAAATTGATTCTTTTAAGGTGTAAATTAAAATATTTTTATAGTACAAAGTGAGATTAATCTTAATTTATATAATAAGGGATTAAAATATGTTTAGGCGAGATTGTGTGGTGATTGACTGAGTAAAGTAATGATTGTGGAGAGAGAGATAAATTGGGCAGGTAGTGCTTGGGGGTGGGGAAGGTATTGTCCGTTGGTTGAGGGGAAGAATTGCTTTCTGGTGGGCTAAAAGGGGCCCACGGGTTGTGAAAGTAAAGTGAAATTGGCATAGTTGACCTTGCAGTTGGTTCCAGGGATTTGTTTTCGTGAAAGTTGACTGTGACGTACAATGGGGGTGTTTGGGTCATTTTGAGGTCGTGAAAGCGATTATGCTAAATAATGAGTCGAGTAATTGGATTTATTGTGTTGCGAGGAGTCTGCGAGATGTGTACGAGGGTCCACCATGGGCAATGGTGAGTTGGCATTAATGGAGCTTTTTTTTTTTTTTTTCTTTTTTGTCAAAACTTGAATCTTGGGCATTAATTAAACCTTGCCTTAAAAACGAAAAAGGAAAAGTTTACTTTTGGAATTAAATGTATTTCTAATCAATTACTCTACACCAAATTTCTATATACGGGCATGATCCTGGCTTTATTTTATTTTATTTTTATTTTACTGCATAACAATTTGAATGCAAACTGTCCAAATGAATTAGAACCATTAGATTAACATTAAGTTTCAATATTTAATGAGATTCAGAGTCAATTCAAAAATTAGATCAACAAATTACATCATTAAATTAGATCTTACTAACATTGTTTCTGACACAATATACAAAGTANGATCAACAAATTACATCATTAAATTAGATCTTACTAACATTGTTTCTGACACAATATACAAAGTAGTCTATTTTTATGAGGACAAGGATGGTCCAAGTTAAAGCTCAACGAATAAATATATCCAATTTTTTAAATATTTTTATTAGGATGAGGAATAAAGGCGGTCCAAGTTTGAAGTTTAACGAATAAATATTATTGAATATTTAAAAAGAATTAAATCTAGATTGGAATCTCCTCGTACATTTACTCTTCTTTTTTTTTATTTTTTAATGATTTATCATTTATCACGAATTAAAGATGCTCCACTTCTTACCAAAATTCGATGGGATTCTACTATATCCGCAAGTGGTTCTTAATGGACGGTCCAGTTTATTTTTTAAAAACTTGAGTGAATAAATGGCGGAGATTATTTTAGCCATTGTTGTAGGGTAAGGAAGGCNTCCAGTTTATTTTTTAAAAACTTGAGTGAATATATGGCGGAGATTATTTTAGCTATTGTTGTAGGGTAAGGAAGGGTGCATAAAATTAGAGAGAATTAAAGCTATGGACTATGGTCCAAAATTCGGCAAATTATCATTTTAGATACTGTATAGAATGTCCTGATTTGATTGGAATTTGACTGAAAGACATATCGGTTGCTAAATTTTTTAGAGTACATAGTTTCCAGCTTAGACAAAAAGCTTTGGTGTGGACCTTACTTTGCATTATTGCAAAAAAAAAAAAAATAGTTATAGATAGTGCAAATATTCATGTAATGCTTGGACTTATGAGGGGGCATTAAACCATCCCAACTCTTAGGCACAGTTTGGATGGATCAACTCAAATTAATTCGCTTTTAATTTAAATTTTTTAGTGTGTGGACAAGAATTATTAATAAACAGATTTAACTGAACAAAAATTTTTAATGTAGTCAAAAAAAAAAATATACAATACGACTTGTTTATATATCTGTTATAAATAATTTATATACGATACAAACTCGATACGATACGATACGATACAATCCATTAAACACAAATTAATAAATGAATTGGACATGAGTTGAATATTTTTTGATACAAACCCGCTAAAACTCAACATAAACTTGTCTCATCTGATATATTGACAAACCTATTAGTCGGATTTTTAGGTCAGATGTTAATAATATGCACCATTAAATAACCAATTTCCTTATTTGTTTTTTAAAAAATTTCAACAACACCCCTTATAATTTATCATATTTTTAACGATATTCCTTCTATTATTAAAAATGTTACTGACACCCTTTCTAGTTTATATTTAAATCACTGACACCTCATGCCATTAAATCACAATTTATAATAAAAAGAAATTATCTAAAATACCAAAATTGACCCTACATAAACTCAAAAGAGTCTTTCTACATAAAATTCGATTAAAATTGGGGTCGATTAAAATTTCTTTTTTTACATATTAAAATTCGAATTGATTAAAAAAAAATTCTAAATATTATATTTGATTGGATTAAAATTCGATTCGACCTGATTAAATATTATTTTTTATATATATTAAAATTCGAGCCTATTAAAAGTCTTTTTTTACATATTAGAATTCGTTGATTTAAGTTTACTTGAGTTGTTAGCTCTTATTAAAATTCTCTTTTTAGTCGATTAAAATTTATATTTTTATTTATTAAAATTCAATTCAACTTGATTAAAATTTATTTTTTACATATTAAAATTTGAGTCAATTAAAATTTATATTTTTTTATGTATCAAAATTCGGGGCCGATTAAAATTTAATGAGAGTTGATTAAAATTTAATTTGAGTCTCGAATAAAATTTTAATTGACTCGAATNCGGGGCCGATAAAAATTTAATGAGAGTTGATTAAAATTTAATTTGAGCCTCGAATAAAATTTTAATTTAATACGTAAAAAAATAATTATTAATTGATTTCAAATTTTAATTAGTTTGAATCGAATTTTAATCGGCCTGAATTTTAATACGTAAAAAAATTTAAAAAATAAAAGGGGTCTCATTGAATATATACCTATCTGGAGGGGGTGTGAATGAAGTTTTTCCTAAAATATATCTCGGGTAGTTTAGTAAAATTACATTTTAATTAACACATTTAATCTGACAGACAGTATCAGTGAAAATTCAAAAAATAAAGGAAGGGTGCGTTTTTTATGGATGAAGTTGTGTTGCACAAACTATTGCCCAAATCTTATATCCCAAATAATGTATCAAAATCTCATACATTAAATATTTAGTAGAGTTAGTGAATCCTACTAATCCAATCACCTGTATTTATTTGGGATACAAAATT